TGTGTGGGTCCTAACGCCCCAGTATAGTAAAGGAGACTTTATACTACTCAGTGAACACCGTGTTTTAGATGAGACATTAAACCGAGGTCCTGACTCTCTATGGTCTTAAAAAAAAATTCCAGGATGTCCTTCGAAAGAGTAGGGGTTTAACCCTAGCATCCTGGCCAAATCTGCCCACTGGCCTCTGTGTATCATGGCCTCCTAAACATCCCCATATCATAATTGGCTTCATCACTCTCCACCGTCTCCTCTCCACCAATCAGCTGGTGTGGGGCAACATGGCTGCACCGTGTCATCCAGGTGGATGCTGCACACCCCCCCATCATTGTGCAAAGCGATTTGAGTTTCTAGAAAAGCGCTATATAATGTAAGGAATTATTATTATTATTATTTTGTTGTTTTGCCGCCCTGACCATTCGCCTGGTTTTCTGACTAGGCTTTGAATTACCTACATGCTCCAGTTTGCCCCTGTTTTGACCATTGCCTGCCTGATCTCTTAATAAACTGCATTTGGATCCTCAACTCCTTTGTTCTCTTACTCTTTACGAGTACACTTTTGTCAGTAAATTTAGGTGTCTTTTTTAATATTTATCATCTGAAACTAGGGGCGACACAGTGGCTCAGTGGTTGCACTGTCGCTTCACAGCAAGAAGGTCGCTAGTTCAAGCCCCGGCTGTGTCAGGACTCCAGGCTGATCAGCTGGTTCTATCTGTTTTGTTTGTTTGTATTAGCCACATGTTCCTTTGTTTGTGCTTCTGATTGTTTCTCTCCACCCCCTCGTTCTCATTCATTTAGCCGATTTGATTCACCCGTTGTTGCTCATTTTCTCCTCATTAGCTCGCCTATTTATTCTCTTTGTTTGTGCTGTCCTGTGCCAGATTGTTGTTTGCTTCTGACCCTGCAACATCAAATATAGGTGAACTAATTGTTTATAGTTAACTTTTTTCTGTTTGACTCCAAGACTCTCTCACTACCTTCCCAGACTTTCTGCGTAGTCCCTGGCTTGCCCAAAGTCTTTGCTGTTGTGCTGCCAGATTTACGAGGTCCTGGATGCTGGCCTGGTTCTGACCATTACACCTGCCTCTGTTTCTATTGACAAGTCTATTTTTTGTTCCTGGATATTTTCAGTCATTCCCCCAATTCCATTCATTGAGCTGACCATCTTCTTGAAATAGAAATGACTTCTTTTTTTTAATATAAACACTTTATTATATTATTTTACTTATTGAAATAACAAATTAAAATATATTGTTGAAATGCAAACAATCATTCTTTGCTCTATAGACCTTTTTCATGGCTGCTGCATGGAGGGCGCCATAGCGACCAGCATCTTCCGGTAGATTGCTAAAAACTTCCGTTTACAGCGTGTACAACTGGTAATTTGCTCTCCGAAAATGGGTTTCAATAACGTTTTTAATGAATGTTTTTGTGACACACAACTTAGAAATGTGTCTGGTAAAGCCGTTATAATCTGTCACATGTGGTTCAAGCGCGTCAGAAATATGAGAAAAACGTTCTCCTAGTTCTAGCTAAGCGGCTCTTTAACACACGCACACACAGAGAGAGAGAGAGAGAGAGAGAGAGAGCAAACCAGAGTACTGGCATGAAACTTAACAGGTATGAAAGTCATGCAATTTATAATAAAAGTCTGTTATTGATACTCTGCTGGCTGATTTGCTGTACATTCTAATCGCGAGTCGTTTGTGTTTTATTAAGTGTGTTGTTTTTACGAAATGACACTATGAAATGATACTAGCCTATATTTTCACTTTGTCGCAGTTATTAAATCAGTGTGTCAGTGGCACAGTACAGGCTACGTGTGTGTGTCAAACATTTTGGTGAACTACATTTGTTTGGGCTGGTTATATATTTGAAATAAAGAGAAAATGTTGACTTTAGCGATGACAAGGGTTCATTGAAACTGCAGAAGATGCCGTCTGACAACAAGGGGAAAACGCCTCACAGCAGCTGTTTTCCATCCTATTAGATCGCATTTCTTTAAATGATCAGTCCAGGAGATGGTGCTGATGGACAACAGTATTAGTTCAAAGAGGATAAAAGCAGGTAAAATAGATTAAAACTATTGTTTCAAAGCTGTCCAAATGTGACTGTTTACACGCATCAGCTGCTGACCGGAAGTTCTTCGCATTCTCCTTGCGCATACACGCAAATCATAATGGGTAATTTTGCGTTCCAAGAAAAAGGTCTTTATATCAGTAAAGAAATCATACAAAAACAAACGATTCCCCTTGTATAGAAGCCCCCAACGTTTGCAGTATCATCAATGTAAACATGAGGTTTCCTGACTGGAAATGGTTGGAGTTATACGCAATCTCCCCTCTTTTAAACGCAGCTCGAACACATTTTTATCATTATGCATTTGAACGTATTGTGCTGAATGACCCATTGGGTATCATTCTTCCATCATTAGCTCACAGTCATCCTATTTTTATCCACGTTAGACTGTATGATCATATCTAAGCGCCGCTGCAATGAAAACACCAGCGGGTTTGTTTTGGAGAGCATCTGCACTGAGCTCAATGGGAGGAGCGCACTTTCATGTCACTTCAGGATCTTCGGCTGATAATAAAAAAATACATTTATATTGTTCTGTTCTTTCCCAAAAGACGGAAGACAAGACTCAAGCTGTTACATGTTTACATCTGAATGTATCCTGCTAGTTTAACATTAGGTTAAACATTGCAGTGAGGCACTGCATTGCTTTTTCATGCACCTATCAAGTTTGACTGTTTTGGCTTTTCAGTTTGTTCATTCATGAATTCATTTTCCTTCAGCTTAGTCCCTTATTTATTAGGGGTCACCACAGCGGAATGAACCGCCAACTATTCCAGCATGTGTTTTACGCAGCGGTTGCCCTTCCAGCTACAACCCAATACTGGGAAACACACTCTCACATTCACACACTATGTGCAATTTTGTTTACCCAATTTATGTCTTTGGACTGTAGGGGAAACCGGAGCACCCTGAGGAAACCCACGCCAACACAGGAAGAACATGGAAACACCACACAGAAATGCCAACTGGTCTAGCTAGGACTTGAACCAGTGAACTTATTGCTGTGAGGCGACAGTGCTAAACCACTGAGCCACCGTGCCAGCCTCTTTTCAGTTAATTGTAAGAAAAATATACAAAACAATTTGTGCTCCTCAACACTCCTGTTTCCACCAAAACTGTTCGTTGGAAGCTCTACAGGGGCAATATACAGAGCTGCTATAGCCAAACCTTTGGTCACTCTTGCCAATGCCAAACATTGGTTTCAATGGTTCCAGCAGCGAAAATCTTGGGTTGGGGACAATGCCAAACATGTATTGTTCTCTGATAAGTCCACCTTCACTGTCTTTTCCACATCCGGGAGAGTTACGGTGTGGAGAAGCCCCAAAGAAACATACCACCCAGACTGTTGAATGCCTAGAGTGAAGCATGGGTGTGGTTTAGTGATAGTTTGGACTGAAGTATCATGGCATTACCTAGGCCCAATACTTGTGCTAGTACCATTATGGAGGACCATGTGACCCAATGGGTCAAAAATTGTATCCTGAAGGTGGTGCCATGTATCAGGATAATATTGCAACAATTCTGACAGTGGTTTGATTAACATGAAAGTGAAGTTGAACCTCTCTCATGACATTTGCATATATGCAAATTATTGCACATTCCATTAAATGATGCCATTTTTTTTCTTATTTAAATATAACAATTAACACGAGAAAACGCTGTAAAAAATTCTGCTGCCTGAAATGCTTTAGTTAAATTAAATGAACTACTCTAGTCAACTCAACATCATTCGGCTCAGTCCCTTTATTCATCAGGGGTTGCCACAGCGGAATGAACCTCCAACTTATCCAGCATATATTTTACACAGTAGATGCCCTTCCAGCTGTAACCCAGTACTAGGAAACATCCATACACACTCATGCACACACACACACACTGCTGCCAATTTAATTTATCCAGTTCACCTATAGCGCTTGTGTTTGAACTTGTGGAGAAAACCGGAGCACCTGGAGGACACTCACGCTAAAACAGGGAGAACATGTAAACTCCACACAGAAATGCCAATTGACCCAGCCGGGACTCGAATCTTGCTGTGAGGCAACAGGCTAACCACTGAGGCACCGTGTTGCCCCTGGCTCAATTTATAAAGTTAGATTTTGTAAAACCTAAACAATTTTGTCGAAACTTGATTAACTTCTTAAAATAAGTAGCATAAATAAATATTTGTTGTCTTGACTTTTTTACAGTGAAAAGAGAAAAAAACAAAACAAAATATGTTAGGAAAAACTAAAATAAATTACAGGTAAAAAAGTTTGCATTTCTTAATGTAAACAGTCACCTGGGAAAGTAAGCTAAATACAAGTTGTTCATTTTTACCCTATTTACATACAGTGGCTTAATGCATGCAATAATAGCTGTAAATCTGGATAAAAATTAGGTTTTGGTAGAAAATGTAAAGCGAAAGGGGGGAAGCACGCAGGCTCAGTGGTTAACACTGGGCTAAAGCAGCAGAAGACCACACCGGGTGCTCCTCCTGTCAGCTAGGAACAGAAAACTGAGGCTACAATTTGCACAGCCTTTGTTGGTGTCGTCAATCTGGCAACCTGCTCTTGCATGTGTTTTGAATCAGACATGCAATAACTAATTCAACCACTGGGTGTCAAACTCACATACTGCACCTTTAAGTAGGTTAATTAGGCAAGTTAGAGTATTCAGGCAAGTCATTGTATAAGAGTGGTTTGTTCTGAAGACAATCTGGAAAAAATTGCTATAATATTGACCTTAAAATGTTTTTAGATAATACTGCTTTTATTCCAGCCAAACTGAAACAAATAAGACTTTCTCCAGAATAAAAATAAATATAGAAATACTGTGAAACATTCCTTGCTCTGTTAAACATAATTTGGGAAATGTTTTAAAAAGAAAAAAAAATTAAATCGCAGAAGGGCTAATAAAATTAACTTTAAAATAGGTAGAGTAATTACCCAGAAAACTGTGTGACGGTTTGTCCTCCACCACTTTGATTCTCCGAGCTCCCACTGGAATCACAGCCGCCTCGATGTAGCCTTCATGAGGAGAAAAACAACAGGAGAAACAGAAGAAAGAGGCCAGATTTCACAACAGCTGCAGGTGTGTGTGTGTGTGTGTGTGTGTGTGTGTGTGTGTGTGTGCGTGCGTGTGTGTGTGTGTGTGTGTGTGTGTGTGTGTATGCGCGTGTGTGTGCGTGAACATAGTGACAAACAGTGTATTATCCTGGCCAATCGGAGCAGACATAAATCATCTCAATCGTCAGTCACCGTAATCAAATGCTGAATATTTTTTGTCATGTCCATATTTTTAAATTTAGAAAGAACTATATACTTCTGATATACTGTATAGTATTGCATGCATATTTTAAAATAATGTATAACAGCACTTAAATGTAATATTTTGTATATGTTTTTACTAGATATAAAATTAAGCTAATTAAATACAGGAACCTGCCCCTATTTTTGATACATTAGATGTATATATTATATATTTATAATATGCATTTATATATATTTTTTGTGAGTCAGTATTTACTGAGTCAGTAAAGGACCACAGACACCTGCATCAATGCACATATACATAGCGAACTCCTGGAAATCATACCCGCCATCATCATCACAGAACAGCCAATCTGTAGAGTTTATAGCAAAATATTTGTCCTTTACTGCATAGAGTTCATTAAAATTGAATCTAAACACCATTCATTTTTATTCAAGTAGATTTTTTTTCAGTTGAATAAAAATCTATTTAAAAGACTATTTTACATATTTATCAAAATAGTTAGCAGTGTTTGCATGTCCTTTACTGCATAGAATTCGTTAAAATATAAGTAAAATAACTTTTATCAAAGGTTGATTTTAAAAAGGCACCTAAATAATTTTTTAGCAATAGTAATTTTGTAATTTTTTGTTGCCCCAGTTGAATAAAAGACATGTTTTTTTAGTATATTTTATTATTCAGATATCTTTTAATTGATATAAAAAAATATCGTCTCGAGAACTCAATCGTCACGTGGAGAAAGCTCATCACACCCCTAATATATATATATAGGCTATTTTATATATTTTTGCTATGAAGCTCTAAATTGTGTTCAGGTACATTCTGTTACCACTGATCATTCTAGAGATGTTTCGGCAGCTTCACCTGTTGTAAATTTAGTTGATTGGACATGATTAGAAAAGGCACACACCTGTCTCAGAAAGGCCCCAGGGTTGACAGTGCATGTCAAAGCACAAACCAATCATGAAGACAAAGGAATTGCCTGTAGACCTCCTAGATTGGATTGTCTTGAGGCACAAGGCTGGGGAAGGTTACAGAAACATTTCTGCTGCTCTGAAAGTTCCCATGAGCACAGCGGCCTCTATCATCCGTAAATGGAAGATGTTTAACCACCAGGACTCTTCCTTGAGCTGGCCTGCCATCTAAGCTATCGGGGGAGAAGGGCCTTAGTCAGAGAGGTGATCAATAACCCGATGGTCACTCTGTCTGAGCTCCAGCGTTCTTCTGTGGAGCGAGGAAAACCGTATAGAAGGACAACCATCTTTGCAGCAATCCACCAATCAGACCTGTATGGTAGAGTGGCCAGACGGAAGACACTCCTCACCTGGAACTAGCCAAAAGGTATCTGAAGGACTCTCAGACCATGAGAAATTAAATTCTCTGATCTGATGAGACTAAATTTGAAATCTTTGGAGTGAATGCCAGGCAATACGTTTGGAGAAAACCAGACACCACTCATCACCAGGCTAACACCATCCCTACAGTGAAGCATGGTGTTGGCAGCATCATGCTGTGGGGATGTTTATCAGCAGCAGAAACTGGAAGACTAGTCAGGATAGAGGGAAAGATGAATGCAGCAATGTACAGAGACATCCTGAATGGAAACCTGCTTCAGAGTGCTCTTGACATCAGACTGGGGCGACATTTTATCTTCCAGCAGGACATTAAGCCAAAGCACACCGCCAAAATATCAATGGAGTGGCTTCACAACACATTGATGAATGTCATTGAGTGGCCCAGCCAGAGCCAAGATCTAAATCCTATTGAACATCTCTGGAGAGCTCTGAAAATTGGTGTACACTGTCGCTTCCCATCCAACCTGATTGAGCCTGAGAGGTGCAAAGAGACTGCAAAGAGGAACAGGCAAAGAGGAATAGGCAAACATTTCCAAAGACAGGTGTGCCAAGCATGTGGCATCATATTCAAAAAGACTTGAGGCTGTTATTGCTGCCAAAGGTGCATCAGGAAAGTATTGAGTAAAGGCTGTGAATACTGATGTACATGTGATTTTTCAGCTTTTTCAGTTTTTATAAATTTGCAACAATTTCAAAAAATCTTTTTCCACATTGTCATTCTGGGGTGTTGTGTGTAGAACTTTGAGGAAATAAATTAATTGAATCCATTTTGCAATAAGGCTGTAACATGAAAACATGTGGAAAAAGTGAAGCGCTATCAATACTTTCCGGATGCACTGTAAATATACATATATCAGAGACTATTATAGTTGTAGTATTTATTCATTCATTCATTTATTTTCTTGTCGGCTTAGTCCCTTTATAAATCCGGGGTCGCCACAGCAGAATGAACCGCCAACTCATCCAGCAAGTTTTTTGAGCAGCGGATGCCCTTCCAGCCGCAACCCATCTCTGGGAAACATCCACACACACATTTACAAACACACTCATACACTACGGACAATTTAGCTTACCCAATTCACCTGCACCACATGTCTTTGGTTTATTTTTCACCTTCTTGCTGTGAGGCGAACGTGCTACCCACTGCGCCACTGCCTCGCCTTGTAGTATTTAATAGATCATATATTTATATTTTCATGTGTTATATTTTCATATTTTTAATGTGAATACAGTTTTTTAATAATTTATATTTAGTTTTTATAATGTTAAACAAAATGAAATGAAATGGGAACATTTAAACTTGGTTTAAATCTTGTAATATTATATTTTAACTTATTATATTTGATATTTTACATTATATTATACTTTACATTATCCATTATGCTTAGTTTTTTTAATTATACCTAAATATATATCATAAAGTGTGTCAGAGTTATTTTCGTTAAAGCGTTAGTCGACTGTGATTGAAAGCAGGGCATTTTTCTCTGAAGAACACACACACACACACACACACACACACACACACACACACACACACACACACACACACACACACACACACACACACACACACACACACACGCACACACACACGCACACACACACACACACACACACACACACACACACAAACATACGCACAATTCCCCTTTCAAACACCACTGGGATACAAGTGTCTGGGCAGTAATGATAAAACAAATCTGCAGTTCTGTTTGCACACACACACAAAGGCCACATTCAGAAACGGACGCTAAACTTCATCCTCTCAGACTCATAAAACACTGAACAGAAGGAAAAATGTTTGAAGGGCTGATAATGGCTGCTGATTTGAATGTGTACACTAGTAATAGGCATCAGTTGAGCTCATTTCAAGAAGAGACCTTTGTCGGCGAGATTTTACAAACAGTACCGGTTTAATGAAACATGGTGCTTTATTTTAATGATATAAGCGGACAGTCTAAAGTGCACAGTGCAGCTACACTCAAGTCTGGTTTATACTCGACGTGTCCACTAGTTTACTTGAGTGCACATGGCGAATGTGAGATCATCGCGGAGGTTCGTTTTGGGGGTCCAGTTTGGGGCCCACAGAATTTCATCTCAGTTATACGCACACAATGTTATTCTGTAGGCTTCATCGAACATGGACCTTCAGCATGCACTGGGGAGGTTTGCTCCACCAGAAAAAGGTGGTTTGCCATCTCCAGGTTGGAGGAAAGTCCTTACCTATATCACTAAAGCACTTTTTAAATGACACCAAAAGACTTCTGCATCATTGACATTAGACCAGCTTTTAGTTTGTCAATGGTTCGATCTATTTCAGTAGCCTCGAAATAGAAAATGCTTACAAAGCCAGCCCACCCATGGGTGCACAAATGGGTGCAAATGGATGTGCTATATAATCAACGTGGTGCAGGACGTGAAAATGATACCTGTGCTTGGATGAAATGAGCAAAGACACTTGTATGATAGAGCCCAATTTGTTTTATAGCAGAATAGAGATATTGAGTCGTAAGATGTATTGACCTGTGCAAAATGCTTTGAAATGTATTTACTATTTTGATTCATTAAGAATTATGCAATATATCAAAATGTGCACACAAATATGTTGATGGTGGATGGATAAGTGGACAAATTCTGATTTTGCAATGACTTTTTATTATGACATTTATAGGCCTTTTATATACAATTAGACACTAATAATCTTTCACATATTTACCCTTTAATTTGACATTTATATCACTTTGTGAGTAATAAGCAGCAAGTTTGCACATTTTTGTGTCACGGTTGTGGATCTATCTGCTCTTCATTTGAAGTGTCTGCGTTGTGTGACAGTTCATTATTTATGGTATGTGTTTCTAAGTGTGTGTGCTTCTCTCTCTGTGCTTGTGTGGGACTCGCGTGCCTGTCAACGGGTGTTTGTTTTCGTGGCATCAGCTGAGCGGTCACATGATCCTTGTTACCGGAACTATTGCGTGTCACCGCTCGGCTGTTAATCAGCGCGCTACAGGTGTAGCGCATTTTTGTGCCTATAAATGTTCAGCGTTCCTGTCTCACTTTGTCAGTTCGTTGTATGCTCACGGTGTTTTGTCTTTTGTCAGGATCCTCTCGCTGATTCTCGCTGGTGGTGAGTGGCTTGGTTGCTTCCTCGTTTCACTTTCAGATGCTTCCGGTTCCTTTGATGATGACTGTTTGATTCACTCTGTTGACGAGTGTCATGAACTTTCTATCGGCGCTGCCGACCCAGATCGCTACTGTTATTCCTGCTAAAAGACTGTGTACTTCCAGCCACTCACCATTTTCTCTGTCTTTTTCTGTGATCTTCATTAAAACACTTTCACTTGCAATTGGGTTCCACGTCCTGATTACTGAGCGTCACATTTTGACCCACCTATTGGTGCAAT